CAGAGGCAGCAATGTGCCTTCATCCAGTTTGCCACCCGACAGGCTGCAGAGGTGGCTGCTGAGAAATCCTTCAACAAGCTCATTGTCAACGGTCGCAGGCTCAATGTCAAATGGGGAAGGTGAGTGTGGAGGGAGGAGGAAGCCTGGGGGACACTGCCACAAGGTTCTGCTCTCAGCTGGTGCAGTCGTGACAAGCAGGATTGGGTGTTGTGCTGGAGCAGCTACTCGTTTGGTAAATAGCTGAGGTCCTCTTACAGTTTGGTTTTCTCTCAGCAATGGGATCTGGGTTGGAGATGACACAAGTAGTGTAAGGGATTTCTTGGCTGAGGATTATGTAGGAGTTTCTGTAGTTTTGCCCGTAGTTCATCCCCTGTAAGCACTGTTTGCAAACTTCATACCTCCTGTCCCTGATACTCTGTGAGTTTTGCATTTTTGGCCTGAAGCTATGCATCTGGATTAAATAATGTGAAGCTATTGTGGTGCAAATATCTCCTGATCCTGCTTTTTTTCATCCTTGTTCTCAAACTCTTGTCTGGTTTTTAGGTCCCAGGCAGCAAGAGGAAAAGAAAAGGACAAGGAAGGTACTACAGAGTCCGGGATAAAGCTGGAGCCAGTTCCAGGACTTCCCGGAGGTAAGGGAGTTGTTTTCATCTCTGAAACACTTAGTGCTGACCTGCTTCCATGAGCAAGGAGGGTATTAAACCTCTTGGGAGGAGGGACAGTGTTCAGAATGGTGGAAGCAGTGGCATGTCTAGAGAGTTACAGTTGGTTTGCAGCAGATCCAGCTGGGATGGAAGGTGAGCTTTGTCTAGAAGCAAATCCTTGATGAAAAGAGAGTTCTTCATGTGAGGAGTGAAAAGTTAAAGCTGAACTCAACTCACTTGGATCTGAGATGCTGGCAGCCCACACTTCGAATGTTTTCCTAATCCACCGAGTGTTGTGTGATGGAAAAAGCAGTGCTGATTTTGAATGAAGAGTATTGGTGACTGGAATTTCAGTGCAGTCCTGCTTCTCTCTCTGGTTCATATGTGTGATAGTAGCAGCAGTTTACCCTTGTGAAAGCACTGACTGTGCCTCCTCTCTGGAGGCAAACACCTCTGCATGAGAGATTTTCTGTAACCGCCGTGTACTTTTTCTGCAGCTCTCCCCCCTCCTCCAGCTGCAGAAGAGGAGGCTTCTGCAAATTACTTCAATCTACCTCCAAGTGGCCCTTCAGCCGTGGTGAACATTGCCTTGCCACCTCCTCCTGGCATCGCTCCGCCACCGCCTCCAGGTACTTGTGTTTCCTGCTCAAGTGGGGGTGGGACTTGGTGTCAGACAGTGTGTTCCTCCTTGCCCGGCTGTGCTGCAGCACTGACACATGCCCTGAGCTGATTTTCCTCATCCCTGATCACACAGTGTAAACTGATGATCTAAACTGGGCTGTCAGCACAGTTTAATTAAACTGAACTGCCAGTCTTGGTAGGTATTCACTGCAAATTCCCAGGCATGTCAGAGATCCCTGGTACTGGTACTGAGACCTACTCAGTGCTTTTGCTGGCTGCATAAATGCCACATTAACCTGAACTTCAAAGGGTAATTTTGAAGCTGGTTGAATGCCAACCTATCTTTGGCTCTCTGTATGTATCTCTCCAGAGATTCTTACTTTCTTTTTCTCTAATGCGCTGTCAGGTTCTTGTGGATGCATTTGATTCGCTCCACAGTTGAGTAGAAAACATTAGATGGGTGTTACAGACACCTGCCCAGTCCCCCCACCAGCTTTTACCTGTGAATGTGCTGGGTAGGGATTGCTCCTAGTTGTACTGGAAGGAGTTTGGGGAGATGGGAGATGTGCACATTCCTGAGGCACAGCTGTAAACCAGCTGTTCTGCCGGTACTTTGAAGCACTAAGTCATATAAGTATCAATTTTTTCTGTTGCTTTGCCTGAAGCTGCCAACTTTATCTCTGCAGGTTTTGGACCACACATGTTCCACGCCATGGGGCCCCCACCTCCCTTCATGAGAGCCCCAGGCCCCATCCACTACCCGTCCCAGGATCCCCAGAGGATGGGAGCCCACGCGGGAAAGCACAGCAGCCCCTAGCAAGTCCTGCCACCCTCGTCCTCGAAGTAAATGTTATTTTCTAGTTACCATGGTAGCGCCATATGTTGAGCTGTGGGCGAGCTAGAAACGCCTTATTTCCCTGCTTGCAGCCCCGGGGCAGGCTGAGCTCTGTGTCTCCGCTAGCTAATCGGATTGTTGGTATGTCCCAGGTCTGTCAGTCAGTGTTGGGGGTGGGGGTGGGAGGCAGACAGAAGGGCTGTGGGGGTCTGTGGGTCTGGGGTACCAGGATTACAGTGCTATCTCTGTATCCCATCAGCACACTTTTGAAATAAACTGGTGGAAAACCAAAACCAAACCCTTTCCAAGCCCGTTTGATATCCTCAGTCTGAACATTATGGACTGTATATATGTAACCAGAGACTCTTCTCTGTCAGGAAACTAATGATGTGTTACTCTAACGAGGTATGAAACCAGGACTGAACAAGAGCTGCAGAACAAGCTCATCAGACTTGCCAAGCCCATGGCTTTGCCTCACCACTAACACAGTTTTCCTCCTCCTTTTCCTGACTTCTTGCTTGAAAAAAGACAAACAAAACCTTTTTTGATGAATCACTTCTAATCCTGCACATCCTGAGCAAGACAAGTGCTGGGTCACGCAAGCGGCCCCCAGGCAGTGCAGGCATGATGTGGAGTGACAGGGCAGCAGTTGCCTGATTTAGGCAGGTGACAGCCCCTTCGGTGGCCTCAGGGGCTTGTGTTGCTGACAGCTGCAGGGGAGGGCACTGTGCAGCCTCAGACTGCTCTGGGGAAGCTTTGGGGCTTTCAGGGCCTGTGATACAGCATCCCTGTAAGCTGTGAGATGGATCCCACTTCATCCTGCTTTGATAAGATGTGAAACTTTTCTTCCTGTGCTCCTACTGTAGTGCTTGCCTGGGAGTAACTGCATCCTGCATGGAGCCTGCTGCTGAGTAAGGTCTGTACACATGGCTGGAGGATTTTAGGTTTTATCTGTACGTCAGCTGCTTTCGTGCAACGGGTCTGTGGACATCCTTCTGTCAAGCAAAACATGATGGGGCCTGTTCTGAAGCTTCATTTGCTTGTTTAAAAAAAAAGTGCATTAAAATATTTGAATTTTTCAACACTCTGCTTAGACCCTGCTTCCCGGAGTGCAGTGTCTGAGGACTTTGTCTGATTTTCATGTGGCTTCTGCCACAGCCGAGATGCAGTGTGGGCAAGGACAGCATGTCTGCTTTTAGTTTCATGTCCTGGTATGGTGCCACTGGACCCCACGATGGTGCCAGCCCTGCCAGGCTGTCAGAGGGGTTTGTGCAGCACAGTCTGGGTTTCCCTGGGGAAAGTGCAGGGCTTTGGGTGTGGGTAATTAGTTCAGCTTGTCTAAGGGAGGAGCCATGCCAGGGCAGAGGGTGCTGGTGGATGGGAGAGGGCTCCAAGCCCTGAGTGTGCAGCCAGGGCCTGTGAGCACTGTGCAGGCAGATGTCAAATGCAAGATGCTTTACATCATCACCATTTATTTATTATTTTCAGCCAGGTCCCTGGGGGTGCACAGGTTCTGATAGACAAAGAGGAGAGAGATGGAATTGGAACATTGGAGCATCATAGGAATTTGCTTGTCCCTCCTGCATCTGTGGGAAGGACAGAGCAATTAAAGTTTCCCACCTGAATGGTATGTTGTGGTAGCAGAATCCCTGTGTGGGGTTTGCTCTGTACAGTGTTACAAACTCACTTCACAAGTGAGGCATTTGTTAAGTGCATTTTTACCACAATATTTGTTTGCCCCATTTAACCACAGTGGTGGAAAAAGGAACTTTTATCCTGACGCTCCTGCTCTGGGGAGTTTAAATAAGGGTAACATTAAGAACCTGACAAAAGCAGTTGCAGGAAGCCTGTGTAAATTCAGATTGTGCTTACACTGAGTGGGATTCTCCAGATGTTCTGATGACTGTCCATAGACTGTTGTTAGCTGCAGGTCCCACTGTGTCACTGCTGAAGATGTAGTTTGTTCCTCACTGCTGATTTTCACATTCCCAGAGAAGCCTGTGCTCCCTCTGGAGTCATGGCTTGCTGCTTTTCCTTCTCACTGATGCTGAAGCTATCAGAACACCTGGCAGCATCCTCACACAGCTGTGGTTCTGGAGGGCAGCAGGTCCAGGCAGGGCCTGAGCCTTGTTGACCAACTACATGAAGCAAATCCAGCATAAGTCACTCCAAGGGCTTAGGTGTTCAAGCAAGACATGCAAATAGCAGTAGGAAGGGGAAAATATCAGCTGCCAAGTGCTAGCCAGTAGCTTGTGGAAAACAGGGCACAAGTTTCCAACTCCCAGTGTTCCCCTCCCATCTATCCTGGTTGTGGTGTGTGGATTAACAGGCAGATTCCCAGTTCCTCACTTGTTTTTGTTGTCCAGCCAAGCCTAAGGTAGCTGCTTTTAACATGCCAATGCCTCCAGTAAGTTGTTTTGCTGCTGCTCTTCCATTATCACCTCCTCTTGCCATCCTGAGTGGAATGACAGATGCAGAGTTGTCCTGAAGATGGAATTTGTCTGCAAAAGCACCAGCTGTCAGAGCAGGTCTCGTGTGTCGGTGGAGATGCAGTGAGGCAGCCTGGTGTGCTGCAGCTGGTGGTGCTGCCATTTTCCACGGGGCAGGGAAGAGGACAGGCTGTACAGGATGTTTTGTACGGGAGGCTGCAGTGATCTGCTTGATTAGCAGAGAGAACTTGGCTGGTTGGCCTGGCACTAACTGCCCTTGTGGCAATGGCTGCTGCAAAGGGAATCAGAATGGTCCCAGACTTGAGCTTGTTCAAACCCTGTTTGCAGATGACAGCCCAAGACTACAAGCTGAGCTTTCACAAGGATACCTGCCCCCGTCCCCTACCCTGTGAAGTGTGTCCGAGGCTAGCGAGGGAAGCATCGGAGGTGATGGGGAAGGGAGTGCATGTGCTACAGCTCTTCGCTCTCCGGCAGGATCCGCACCCAGCCCTGTGCCACTCTGTTGAAGTTGGGCCTGTGAGAAATCACGTCCAGCACGCTCAGGTTATCCAGGTCTATGGTGGGCATGGAGAACAGCTCACCAACCAGTGCCTTGTCAAACGGGGCCGGAGTCCTGCAGCACAGGGAAAAGCACAGTTAGTCACGTGGGGAAATTGGGCATGTTGTGAGGGGATAGAAAAAGCAGGTCTGGATTTACTAACTCTGAGCCCAGCAGCAGCCCAGCAATGCCTGTGGCAAATGACAACCCTCCTCTTCCCCCCAGGATGCTGTTAGAGCCCCTTCCAGCCCAGTGAGTTGCTCCTCTGGTACAGAGCCCACCTCAACTCACGCTTTGGCATCCCTGGAGAGCAGGCTTTGATGCCTGAGTGTCAGTGGAAGTGTTCTGCATGTGAAAGGACTTAGATTCAGAGAGCAGGTGACCCTCTGGTCTTCAGAAAGTGTCTTGCTGGCAGCTCCTGTGTTCTGCAGAGAACTGAGGCCAATGGTGCTGCTCCAGATTGCTCCAGCACATGTGCAGGCAAATGACTCTCTCTCGGCCCTGGCTCCAGCCTGCCTTTTGGGATGGCTCCTCACGAGCTATGACTAACAGGAGGAGCAGTGTGGGGGCAAGAGCTGTCATCCCTTTCTGGAGAAATGTGGAAAGGGACCAGGGAAGAGTGTGCCAGCCCCCAAAAAGCCAAGAATGTTGGTTTTGGAGGAGCACAATGGAGGCTGAGCTATCAGTGAGGCATAGCTGGGAGTGTTTGCTTTGGGAAGCACTGCTCGAACACGAGTAACGTGGCACTGTTTTGCAACAGAGGAGAAATAAGAGGGGGAAAGGTAAATGAGAGGGATTTGTTCTAGGAACTTTATCCCTCCTGGAAAGAGTCTTTGTCAAAACTTGGTTTTCACTCTCTCTTAGGCAGCTCACCCTGGCAAGGCAGCCCAACATCTTTGCATCACAGCCTGAGCATTTAAAATTGGGAATAAATTAGCCTGCTTTAACTTTGTTGCTGTTGAGATGGACTTGCCCTTACCCTGTGACCCGTGTGAGCTGTGCTGGGATTCAACTAGCCTTAGGCAAACCCACTGGATTTTCAATAGCCAGTTTCTTCCAAAACACTTGTTTTTCTGCAGTTTGGTATTTGAACTGAGAAGTGATTTAAAAGCCAACAGCTTGGAAGATCATGAAAAGCCCAGTTTAAAAGCAGATTGGCTCTCTGAATCTTCATGCCTCAGTGAAGAATTAGAGGAGGTGGCAAGAGGCTTGGAGTTAAATTAGCATCCATCTGTATTAAATTACAGTTGAAGACTTTAAATAGAAAGGCAGTGTGTGAGAGGGGAGAAATGGTACAGGGTAAGGAATTATTCAGAAACATGCCCTTGCTTCAGTCCCTGTCCATAAATAAAAACCAAGGCAGGAACATGGCTAAATGCTGAAAGAAAAGAGCCAAGTGTCTGTGGCAGCTCCTTGTTCTTCCCCTGCAGCACCTCCTCAGTTGTTACTGCTCGAGGAGAGATGCATGGCAAAGCCCCAGGGCTGAGGGGAGGAGAGCAACAAAGGCACAGTGGTGGCCAGGCTGATCTCTACCCTTTGGGACTCCATTCCCACGCAGAGGGATTGTGGTTCCCCACAGCCCCTTCTGCCAAGTGCTCAAAGCACAGCAGCCACGTCCCCCAGGACTCAAATCCAGCCCTGGTGTGGGTGCAGGAGAGCTGCCATCAGCAGAGGCCCAGCACCATGGCACATGGTCTGACAGGGAGCAGTGATGTGCCCCGTGGGGAGCTCCTCTGGGCACTTGCCTGCTGGAAGGTGACTTTGGCCAGGCTGCCAAGGCCACTGTAATTCCATCCTCATGACAGAGGCTTTCAGTGAGGAGGACAGCCAGGACCTTGGTTTGCAGATTCCCTGGGATGATGTTCAGCTTAAAAGTTCAGTTCTCATTCCTCTACCATGGGCTGCTGGTGCTTTGCTACCATAATCTCCATCTCCTGGATCTCCACCAAGCACCTTTCCCGAAAGGAGATTTTCCTTGGCAGTCTCTGCTCCAGGGTCCCGACCTTGACCCCATTGTAATTTGGAGGTGTGAAGAGGCACTGGCCAGCAGAAGCAGCCACAGGGCACCCTGGCTTGGAGGCTTCAGTCTCCAGCAGGTGTTTGGAAGGAATCGGGTGACCTCTTCGCACTTTGTGGGAAGATTAACCTTACACCCCCACCACTTCCAGCAGCTGCTTGGATACCTTAGGGAAATTAGGAGAGAGACTTGGCACTGAGTGTCATTCCTCCACCCAGCCCAGAGCAGAGCCCAGCTGGGAACAGGAGTGATTCCTTCTCCAAGACTATGTGTACGAGAATTAGTCCTCCCAAATTTCATCCCTGGGGTTACCCAGTGAGATAAAGCTGCTTAAGGCTGTGCAAACCCAGTGGTAGAGCTGAGAGATCTGGGAGCTGCTGGAGACAGCTTAGAAACCTTAGCAGGGAGCCACAAAGTTGCTTCTGAGCAGGAAAAGAGCAACCAGAGTTCTGGCTGCTTCCCTCTGGTGTATAAAGAAGGCATGGACCATTGTGATTTCCCTGGCAGGATGGTGGGTGCTTCTCCAGCCTGAAGGGCTTGGCCAAGAGCTGGACAGGCTGATGGTTCCTGCCCCTCGACCAGCATTACCTGTTGAAGCTCCTGAAGTCCCATGCAGGGGGTCTCATGGGTGGCTGGTTCTGGCCATACACAGCATCAACCTTGTCGCTGAAGAGCTCATGCCACGGGGACTGGTAACCCCTGGGGATGGCAGTGACATTGAATTTCTCCGGGGGGATTTCTTTGAGGGGGCTCGAGTACCCTGTGCAGGGGAGAGACAGTGTGGGCTGCTGAGGCCACAACCAGGCCAGGGCAGGTGGAACAGCCTGACCTTTGCATGGCCACAGAGGAGCTGCTGGGGCCAGGATACACATCCATAACATAAATATTTGTGTATATAAACACTCTAGGGAGGTTTTGGAGCTGACCCCTTGGCAGGTTGCAGTTCACTGCCTCCAGCCCCACATTGCTGAGATTGCATTGGTGGCAGGTTTAGGGTGCAGGCAGCATTGATTTACCTGGGGCCAGGGCACTGGGGTTCAAGACTTTGCTCATGTGTAAGACTTTCTCTGTCTTCTTGGGCACTTCAGGAGGTCCTCCGTGGGGCGATGCTGCCACGTGGAGCTCGGAGTGATAGTTCTGCTGGCCCTCAGCATTCTCCCCTGCCTGCAGAGCAGAGAGTTAACAGACATGGAGAGCTACCCCTGCCTCACTGAGACTCAGGAGGCAGCTGAAAGCACCTCAGAGCTTTCTTCATCTACTCACCGTTCGTTCGTTCGCTGTTCTGTCTGAATCACCTTTCTCAGTGCAGTGTGAGCCACCTGGCCCTGGGAGCTGCAGGAGTCAAGGAGAGGGTTAGTGGGTGCAGAGTGGGAGTAACATTTTCCCCTTGTCCTTTGGTGGACAATGAATCCCATTCTTGCTCATCTCTGTGCCCAGCCCACCAAGCCATCTCTCCTCCCTTCATCCTGGCTTAGCAGTCAGCTGACTGTGCCGAAAGACCCCTGGCCCCACCAGGAATCACCTCCCTACAAAGGCTGAGAGAGCTGGGGAAGGGCTGAGCTCAGACCCACCTCCCTGGAGCTGCTGGGATGCTCAAAGACAAAGCGCTGCATCCGCCTCTGGCGCTGCTGGAAGAGCTGGGAGCCACGGTTGTTCTTCAGGGAGAGCTCCTCAATCATCAGGTCCTGGGCTGTGCTTATCTTCTTGCCTAGGTTCAGCTGGGGCTCTGGGGAGGCCAGGGGAAAGCACAGCCACAGCTAAGGATGCTGCAGTGCTGGAGTCCCCCAAGGCCAGTGCAGACAGTGTGTCCCCTCGTTGGGGTCCCTGTTGCATGGTTTGGCCATGTGCCTGTGCTGGGAGCTGCACCAGGGACTGTCATTTCCTCAGTGTGAGGAATTGTCACATAATTACTTCATCTCTAGAGGTTCAAACAGCCTCTCCCACCCCATGCATGGACTAGTCCAGCAAAAGCTGGGCCAGTGGCGTCAACCAGAGCTGGGTCTGGCCCTTAGGCAGGGAGGGCAGCACTGCCCTGGGGCTGGTGGCACCCCTGCACCCCCTTACCGTCTTCAGGGCCCGGTTTCATGATGGTCATCACTTGCTGCCACACTCCTGGGGCAGCTCTCTGGGAGGGGGTTGGATTCTGCCTGGCTGGAAGAGAGAGGTACACCCAGAGTGACACCCAGCATGGGGATGTTTCAGTCCCAGGCATGCCACAGAGAGATGTCAGGTTTTGGCTGAGCATCTCTCCTGGCCAGCTTCATCCCTGAGCATGTCCCCTCAACAGCATCATCCCTGAAGTCTCCCCTGGCTGGCATAATCCCATGGCATCTCCCTGCACCACTCTCCACTCCCTTCAACAGACACAGGGAATGTACAAATCATGCCTCTGCTCAGTCCCTGCTTGTCATCTTTCCTCTCTGCCTTTCTTTAGGGTATAAAACATCCTCAGCTCTGTCCTTGCCCACAGTGGTGTCCTTCTGCCCTGAGTGCCCTCGGACCAGCACCTGCTGCCTCAGCCTGCTGGGTGAGCAGGGGCCCTGGTGCCTGCCAGCACCTCTGCATTAGCTGAGCTATTTTCAGCCACTGGCCCCAAGGGTGCAGGAGCCACAACCCTGATCCTGCAAGGAGCTGGTGAGCCCAGCCAGCAGTGAGAAGGGCCATGGGGCCACTGGGCTGGGTTGCTCCTTTGTGGAGAGGCAGCTGGAAAACAGCTCTGGTCTGAGCCCTACAAGCTGCCCACCTGCAGCAACACCCTCCTGTGCTGCCAGGGCACTTGGCTTAGCAAGTGTGAGCTGTTCAACCCTGTTTGGTGCATCTCACACCCCTCAGCTCGGGCTGATGCTGGGAAGCTTCCCCGAAGGGCCCTGGAGAGCAGGGGGTCCCTATGAGGCCGTGGGTGCCTGGCATGCCACTCCCTGCCAAGTCTGAGATCAGCATTAACCGTCCGCATGGCAAACCTGGCATCTGCATCCCATCCTTCCCTCCACCCTGCTCCAGGGACACTGTGTCCCGACCCCCACAGTGGCAATGCCCCCACCACCAAGCATGGGGCATCCCCAAGCCTTGTGTACCCACCCACCTGCTGACCCCCAAGTGGGTCTTCACCTTCCCTACCTGGCCAGGGGACGACCAAGGGGACTGAGGATGCTTCTCCTGCTGTGCTGTGGATGGCGCTGGAGCCAAGCTGCAGCCACCAGCACTTGGTGGCCCCAACTGTCCCTCCACGACACCTCCGGGCTTCTGCTGCTTGCCCCAACCCGTCCTGAGCTCCAGCCCAGATGCCAAGGTCCGGCCACGGGACAGAAGTTATTTCTGGCTGAGAAAGGGGGCGGAGCAGGGCTGTGACCCTTGGGGATGCCATCACCCCAGCACAGAGCAGGACTGGGGACTGGGGCTTCATCACCGTGGCATGGAGCAGGGCTGATCCATGGGAATGGGGCCCCATCACCATGGCATGGAGTGGAACTGACCCTTGAGGATAGGGATGGTGGCCATGCAGTAGCAGCAGGAGGTGGCCATGTGCCATGTGTGCCCAGGCCACCTCAGGGACAGATCAGAGCTAGGCCAGGTGGGATAATGGCAGTTTATTTCTGAGCTGGGTGTACAGCGGTGTGGTGAAGGCAAGTTGTGGTGGCTGGTGGAGCAAGGATAGCAGATGTGTCCTGGGAAGAGGGGGCTGTGTTCCAGGAAGGGCAGGATGCAGGGCAGAGGTACTACAGGCAATAGGGATGGGCTGGCTCCAACTGCATGTCCTGGGGAGAGGGAAGGGGTGACAGGGGCTCTCTGAACGGGAATGTGCCAGCCTAAACACAACCTCCTTTCCAGTGATGGTCTCACTGGCACCAAGGTGTGGAGACACCAGCACATCCCCATGGGGACACTCTCAGCATCACAACACCTCCTTCAGACCCTCTGTGACCTGTACCACTTCCTTCTGCCCCCCTATAGTCCCCCACCTCTTCCCCCTGCCCTAGCTGCCACAGCACCCACCGGTTCCTGTGTGTGCCTCCATCCCACTGGGGGGGAATGGGGTGAGACTGGGGATGGGGACAGTGACAGATACAGGATGGGACTGTCCCTCTTTGTCTGGGCAGGGCAGGAGGGCACTTGTAAACAGTCCCCTTGATGTGGCAATAAATAACTTTGGCTCTTTTTGGTCACGAGGGAAGGATTTGGGAGAATTTCTTTGACAAGGGATCAAAAGTTAAAAAAAAAATAATTAAAAAGTAACTTCTCCTCCTCAGACTCTGGTTTCAGTTGAAACCAGCCAGATCTGGAGACTGGGAGAGGCTTGGAGAGGGAATGTGGTCATGGCACCCACTTGACACTGCCAACCCCTGACAGGTAGACTGGCTGTGATACCCCAGGGAAGCAGAGCTGCAGTGACACCCTGGGGACTGGGGACAGGGGTCTCACAGGGGACCAGTGAGCCCATCCCATCCTGGCTATGTGGGATGGGGCTGGCTGGCAGGCAGGGGCTGTGAGGGAGGCAGCCAGGAGGGGACTGGCTCCCCCACTCTGCCTGCTCCTGCCTGCTGACCACGCAGTTCTGACCCGAAAGGTTAGGGTGGTAAAAATAGAGCAGGGCCATGGGATGGCAAGCGGGCAGGAGGCACCTGACCCTGCTGGCACACCGAGGGGCTAAGGCAGCTCTGCGGGAACACTGGGTTTTGGGGACCTCAGCCCTGAGGGTTGGGGTGTTCCCGGTGGGGAGTCAGTGGGTGGCATCACCTGTGCTGGAGGGGCAGGGAAGGGGGTGGTCTGGCCGGAGCTGGGTCGTCTAGGAGGTGCAGGG